AAACGAAGTAAATCTTATGAGTTGGCCAAGCCAGTCTCCGGACTAAAATCCGATTGAGAACCTAGGGGAACACTTAAAACGTCGTATCGGCACAAATACTTTTCGAAATGCCGAAGAATTGTGGACATTTGTCCAAAAAACCTGGTATGACATTCCAGTGGATACTTGTCGCAAGCTTATTGCTAGTATGCCAAAACGAATCGCCAAAGTTGTACAAAATAAGGGTGGCTATACTGGATACTAGCTATAGATTAAGGAAATCAAGGAAATGTTGAAAAATTGTTGTTAAGTTTTGAGTTTTTGAGTTTGTAGAATTGGTGTACTTATTATTTTGACCAACCCTTTTTTATGTTTTTTAGATATAATTAACCACAAACTTTATAAATGAATTGAAAAATGCCTATGTTAACTATTTTTATAATCTAATATATATCAAAAAGCTATAAGTAAATTTAAGTTTTTCTTTATGATCATTAAAGCAGTCTTGCGAGAAGTTAAAGAAACCGTACACGGGTGTACTTATTATTTTGGCCAGTAGTGTATTTATGTATATGTATGTACGTAATATTAAATATAAATAGGATATTCTGTAGCTTAGTTTTATAATTAAGCATTCAATTCGTGTTGTTATAAATAGTTTAACTTTTTATAAAATAATAATATTAGCTTTAAATATTTATTAGGTAAACAAAAAAAACGATGGATAAATAAAAATGAATATCTGCGTATCAAATTAAATGTTTCGTTTTATATATTTAAATTAATTAAAAAACATACCTTTTAACACAAAACTTATAAAACTGCTTGAGTAAATAAGAATAGATTTAAGTGCAGGTTGATAATATTAGATATGATGTTATTCGTATTTACTTTAAATATTTTAAGTCATTAGATCAAAATTTAATATATTTGAATAAAAATTAAATTTAATATTTCCATTTAAAGTTAATAAAAACAGCCATGGATAAAAAATAAAGCGACATACATATATTTAATTAAATATCCTTTAAATATATTCAATTTAAATAAACTTCGCTTTGTTTTTGTTTAACAATCATAGTATATTCAAATATATTAAACTTAATTGAAATATTTTTAAATTTAATCAAGCAGTTTTATATGTTTTGTATTAAAAGTTAGCTTTAATTTAAATATGTAAAACGAAACTATGAATTAAATATGCAGATATTAATATTTAAGGTATATAAAAAAGTTTTACATCAAGCTTCATTGTCATCTATACATAAATGCAATTTAAATAATCATCCTGTTCAATCATAGAAGTTCTTTTCACACACAATTAGTTTCTTAGTCCAGAAATGATTTCTGGACGAAAATCGTCTTCTCGAACAAATACGCACACATACGCACTTCCTTATTCGTGCAATTCTATTTTTAGATTTTTACGCTCTCAACTTTGTGCGAGCGGAGAGAGCGGAATTTTCGTCGCCACCAAAAAACGAGCTGCATATTGCAAAACCAATGTATGGGCGTTACGCATCTTAGTGATTATATTGGTCTTTGAACAAAGGGTCAATTTATATGAAAATCTTGAAAAAATCAGAAAATTTTGGATTGCCGAAGTGTGCTTTCTTTCTTGTCGTTAGTTAAATTAAATGAACTTAGTCATGTTTCAATGCTCTACTTGTAAAGAACTCTTGGCCATAACTGGCTCGATCGCAGTCACGCAGGCACCGCTGCCACGGAGTCCCACCGTTAGTTGAGTCCTTCCTACTTTTCTCCTGGTCACATGATTTTGTCATTCCGTGAATGCGAGCAAAGTTAGCAGAGGGTCGCGGGACGAGCGGTAGGGTCAGTACAATTGCTTTTATGAAATTAAATTGCGACACACATGTTTAAGTACTCCTGGAGTCGCTCGGCGACTGAGGAAAACATTTTCGGATGAAAAGCTGCAAACATAAATGGTTTCAGTGCACCATGACAAGCGCTGGGCCAAATACATGATGAAAGGAAGCTATTCCTAAATGGCTAAAAGTAATCAATTAATGTCCATCGCAGTCGATAATCAATTTTAATTTGAATTGCTCCAGTAATTGGATGAAGATTTAATATAAAATTATCGTCAAGTGTCTGCCAGCCAAGCAGAGAAAAGCTCAGACAAAGAGGCTTTTGTAATGCAATCAACACAAACATAAATGCCGGCGTTCCTTTGAGTTGAGCTCGTTTTTTTCTTCGGATTTGAGATGAAGAACGACTCCTGACCGCAAAACTCAATAGACACATGCCAAAGTTAAAGCTGCAAATGTAATTAAATAATTGAAATTAAACATGTAGAGCGAAAGCGCTGAAGGAACTCGAAAATTACATAAATACCTCAAATAATCAACACATTATCAACTTTTACGTAATTACACATGCAGCATGCAGGGCAGATGCAGATGCAGATGCAGATACAGTTATAAAGGCAGATGGAGCCGCAGATGTAGATAAAGTTAGATCCGACCAGATGCGGAAGGCAACTCAAACAAAGCTCAACAATGGAAATCGGCAAACAGGTCTGACTGACAAACAGATAGACAGTACGAACAACAATTGCGGCGTAATTTGGTAAATGGAAACGGATACATTTAATAACTAAACTAAATAGAAAGCCCCTGCTTGCCAGTGGTCTCGTCTCTGCGTCTGTCTGCGTATCTAATGGATATTTGTTTATTTGCATGGAAATTCGAAATTAAACTATTGAATCATTGAAAGCCCTTTGACTCGGACGGTCCGTGAAACGTGTCCAGGTCCGGTCTCTCCGGTCTCTCCGCTTTCTCGATTTTCCCCCACCTGTCCAAGCATCCGCTCAAGCTGGACAAACAAATCAAACTGTGATTGCAGAATTTAATAGGATTTAAAAATTCTAAATTGCTAAACAAGACTTAAGCTTCTCCCTCTATCGAAGGTGTATGTGTGGCAGTCTGCCACAAGCTGCTGTGGCTGCGTGCCTAAAGTGGAATTGTTTGTAATGCGTTGATGAGAACGACAACAGGCCGACGGCCCGTCCCAGTGGGAGGCAGGGGGCGGGGGGCGGGAGGGAGAGGGAAAGGGAACGGAGGTCGCAAGGACCCTCGATGGGGATTAATTTAAATGAGATTTTTAATTTACTTTGGTCTATTGAGGCAGCAGCGAGCGGGCTTTTGTTCTTGCGCTGATTGCACAATTTTGCAAACAATTTGTGCGGACTTGTGTGATCGAGGTATTGTGCTGCCCCACATAATGCCCCCGATCCGCCTTGCGCGGCGCTGCCGATTAACTTGCCAACGTCTCAACTGCAATGCCAAAACAATTCCTCTGCCGTTTCGCACTCGAGAGCACTCAATCAGGAAGAGGAGAAACAGAAAGGGAGCAACCACTTGGACACGCAATCAGAGGAAACTTTCCGCACTTTCCCTGTATTGTAATTCAAGACATTCCCCGCCCTTCCCCAGCAGGTCAAGCTGCCAACGACCGAAAAACCGGAGAACAATAATAAGAGCAACAATGCAATTGCCGAATCCCGCTCCAAGGTGCAGGATGGGGACAGGGCGGCAGAGTGGAGCAATGCAGCTGGAGATGAAAATAGTTTAAGTGCAAAATTTTACGCTTTATCGAATTACCCGCGGGTGCTTTAACTTACAGCCAAACTTTGGGATGAGCAAAACTTTTCCGCCCGCCGCCTCCTGGTGCAGCGGCAACTGGGTGGTCAGGTCGCAATTTATGATTCTAAGGTGTTGCAATGAAAACTACCAGCTCCTTGCTCGTTGTTGCCACTGCCGGGGTAAGTTTGTTATATTCCTTACTGTCAGCCAGACCATTTGTTAAATGAGTTGGCAAAGCTAATCGAAAAGTTACTGCGAAGACTCGCAATGGATGCGAGGATGCACTGCCTTGACCTGGTTGCCGGGCCACCTGGACACGGCCACTTCTGGTGACCGGCACAAACAAACGAATAAATAACGCTGAGGCAAACAATTTATCCGGGGAGCATACGGAATCCAGCGAGACCTGAATTCGGGGAGGCTGCAATAAAAAAATAATTTATAACAAAGGCGCCCGAGAGAGAGAGGCTGGGAAAAAGAAAGGGAGAGCAAGCCCAAAATGCTAAAGTAAGATTTATGCAAATCGGAACTAAACATTAATCAAAATTTTTTATCCCTTGTTGTTTGTTGCTGCCCGTGCCACGAGCAGCCATTGTGTGTGTCCGTGTGTGTGTGGGTGTGGCCCAGTTCCAGGCGCCACTCGCCAGATTCTGGGTCACCGATACGGCACCGGACACGGAAGCGGAAACGCAGGTCACCTCCAGGGGAACAAAGTGTTTTTCACCATGAACTTCATAAATTAAAACTTCATATGTCAAAAATGGCAATCGCTCTGAGGGTTTTCAGAGCTTCCCCGTGCTTTGTCATTTATATTGAAGTGTCAAGTCAGCAGAACGTGAGCCACACACCTAATCGACCGGGCAGTAAGAGTGATGCAAGTATCCTAGCATATCCAGGACTACTTTCTCAAAAAATGCAAAAGCAAATGGGCATTAAAGTTTTCGAGTCTTTCCTTTAGCTGAGTGCTTAGCAACTTAGCAGATTATTAACTTTTCTTAAAGTGTTTGAAAGTAACAAAGATTTTATTTTATAATCTACTTTAAAATTTTTAAATAACATAATTCTTTTTAAATTAATAATATTAAACCCATACAGTTTCTTAATATCCAAGTTATGCAAAGTGCTCCAAAAAGGAATGACTTGTTCACACAGTATGATATGGTAGTTTTCAGTGTGCAAGAATTTTATTCCATAAATAAATTGTATTTTATGTTTTACCCTTAATAACTCATATGACAGGTAAAAAAAATGTAAATAATGCCAACAGCACGAATAGGTGATACACTTTGCAGCCAATGCGCATTTTGTCAAATAATTTCCTGTTGGTATTTTACAAATGCACCAAAGCGAATAGTAAAAGCGAGTGAGCTTTTGTGTTTTAGTGGTCGACCTACATTTCTAAAAAAAATCCGTTTATAAATAAAGACAGATTTGTCATTTATTCCCTCAGATCAGCCCTGAAAAAGGACGAATTGGCAGCTGTGACACGAAGAGGTTAATAATTTAACATAATTTTGGACCATAAGGCTTTAAAAATGTGTCAGACGAAAAACTTAATTGAAAACGATTTGCCCCTCTACCAAAAGGCCCGATAGAGCCCACACTTTAACTGCAACAGGAAGCCGGAGTGGGGTCGCGACCTGATCGCTTGGTAATCGAGAGCCGCGTAAACTCTTCGGCGGTGGTGGGGTGGATGCCCACGGTATTGAGAAGGGTCTTCACAGTTAGACCCGACTTGAGGGCCGCGGCAAAGCCCTGGATGACTTCGCCGGCCACCGGACCGATGTAGTGCAGGCCCAGGATCTTCTGGTCGCCAGATATCTCGGCCACCGCTTTGAGGTAGCAGTGGCGCACGCTCTTCTGGGGGATGAAGAACTCGGTGGGCTTGTAGTAACCGTGGAAGACCTCGATGTTGTCAGCCCCGCGCAGCTCGATGGCCGTCTCCTCGGACATGCCCACGCAGCTGTACTCCAGCGGAGTGAAGACCGTGGTGGCCACGTCGGCGTAGTCCATCAGCTGCGTTGCTCCGGCAAAAAGCCGCCTGGCAAGCAGGCGGCCCGACAAGATGGCCACCGGCGTGAGCTCTGGCCGGCCGTAAATGATGTCCCCCACGGCAAAGATGTGGGGCACGTTGGTGGCCTCCGTGGCGTCCACCACGATCTTGTCGTTGCGGATCTCCACGCCGGCGGCGGGCAGGTTGAGGTCCTCGATGAGGCCCCTGCGCCCGATGGCCCACAGAACGGTGTCGAAGACGTCGCTGCCTTCCGTCCCAGTGGTGGTGTTTCGGTACCGGACCAGCAGCCGTCCGTCCGCCTGCCGCTCCACGGACTGAGGGATGGTGGTGCCGAGGAAGGGGACGCCCCGCTCGGTCATCATGGCGGCCAGCAGCTCGGACATCTGGCGGTCGAAGCCGCGCAGCACAATGGAGCGCACCATCACCGTGGGCTCGTAGCCGAGGCCCTTCAGGAAGCAGGCGCACTCGAGACCCACGTACCCGGCGCCAACGACCAGGGTGCGACCCGGTTCCCGCTCGTAGCTGAATATGTCGTCACTGGTGATGCCCAGCTCCACGGCGCCGGGGATGTCCGGGTAACGCGGTCGTCCGCCCACGGCCACCACCACGTGCTCGGAGGTCACCTGCCGGCGTTCGGAGCCCGGCCTCGCCAGGAACTCGATGGTGTGACTGTCGAGGAAGGCGCCCAGCGAGTTGACGTACTCCACCTTCTTGTCGCGCAGGTCCACGCGGGTAACCCAGTTGACGGACTTGATGTGGTTCTGCACGGAGCGCACCAGCTTGCGCCAGTCGGGCCGGAGGTTCTGGTCGTCCACGTTCCAGCCGTAGGCCACCGCCTCGTGCACCGCCTCGCCCAGCAGCGAGGCCTGGTGCATCAGCTTCTTGGGGATGCAGCCCACGTTCACGCAGGTGCCGCCGATGCCCCACCTGGTGCCCACCGGCGTGGGCTTCACGAAGTCGAGGCACAGCACGCGGGCGCCGCAGTCAGCCGCCTCCTTGGCGCAGGCCAGTCCCGCCGAGCCGCCGCCGAGGACCACCAGGTCGTAGTCGTAGCGCGGGTTGGAGGACGCATGGCGGCTCCACCCGACTCCGATGGTGGCGCGGATTGTGGGGCAGGTGCGGGAGGAGCACCTCATGAACTTCAAGGCAGTCATTTCGGTTCGTCACGGTGCATTTGGATTTGCGTTTAGGAAATGAATCAGAATTCCAGATGAACAAACAGAAACTTGGAATTTACGAGCCAGCACTGCCAACTTGTGTGAGCAAAGGTGTCGGAAAAACTAATCGCAAGGTGGTTGAAAAACCGAATGTCCTTACTCCACCATCATTTTAACAAATACATTTTATATTTTTTTGTCGACTGAACACTGCAATGAGCTGAATTAATATTGGCTCCAATTTATTATTAAAATAAAAATTGTTTTTATATTGTATTCGTTATATATGTATATGTAAAATGTAAAAAGAAACGCTTTCGACCATATTTGACCTATTTAAATGGTAAGGGTAATTTAAATGTAAGCAATAGTCCGTACTATAAAAACTTAGTAAGAAAAAAATCACATAAAATAGAAATTTCAGAATTAGTAGTTGGTTTAATTGAGTTTAGTCGTACTGATAGAGGCATTTACGCTTGGCGTTCACCAAATTATCAAACTGATTTAGATCATTTGAAAAATCTGTTTATACCGGTTTAAATACATAGAATAGCAATTACTGTAAAGAACATTAAAATTCCATTGTGCCACAATGTATTTCCGAAGACCAGATATCTTTCCTCTTGCTCTTTTTGTAAGTGTTTGTTTCAAGGTTTTTATACCCTTGCAGAGGGTATTATAATTTTGATCAAAAGTGTGCAACGCAGTGAAGGAGACATCTCCGACCCTATAAAGTATATATATTCTTGATCAGGATCACATCCTCTACGCAAACTAGTCTCTCAGTTTTAAAGATATCAAATTGAAACTTTGCACACACCCTTCTTTCCTTTGCACGCAGTATATATGTCGGAACGGGATCGGCCGACTATATCCTATTCTGCAAGGGTATATCAACTTCGGCTCCGCCCGAAGTTAGCTTTCCTTTCTTGTTTTATTTTGACTTCCGTAGAGCATGCAAAATTATCAGAGACTGCTGGCTGCAAAGTTGAAGACTCGCCGGGTGGATCTTCAACCTTTTCAGCGCGATTTGCCGGTACAGAACTGTCAAATATATTAAAATTGGGGCTTGGGGCAGAATCCTTCTCTTATACAGAATTGAATCATTTATTTTTATTTTTATTAAGAATCAAATGTGTATGTCGATAATATAAATTATTGCGCAAAAATAATATCAATAAATAGATACCTCAGTCAATTTGGCAGAAGGCTCAAAAAACCAAATTGCAAAACAAAAACGGTAAACACAAAAACACAAAGGTAAAAGAACGCGTATAACTGAAGAACACTTTTTCATCGACTTGAGCGTGGCTTAGGAAACACTAACAACTATACTCATGAACAGTTAGATAGAGCGTGAAGGGGGAATAATATATTGAAGAGACCTTTTCGGAAGCATTTGCAAAACATGTACAATCACAATAACACAGCACAGGACTTAAACTGACTTTAAAAAAACTATTAAAATGCAAACAAGAAAAGAAACAAACTTCTGCAAGTCCAAGTTTATATACCCTTGCAGTTATTAGAAATCGTCATTTCGATTTCTATGCCTAAATTACTAAAAACAATGTAGTTATGTCGATTTTGCGCTGCATTTTGCCATAGTTTCTATGGTTGTTGTCCGATTTTAATTTAATTAAATCAGTTATTCCATAATATTTAAATATTACCAAATCCCAAAGAACAACAAAAAAATATTAGAAACAACAAAGTTATAATTTTTTTGAATTGTTTTTTCCGATTGTTCCTATGAGATCTATATGATCCGGCTCGTTCCGACTTCCGACCTGTAATAGAAAGACAACTTTTGGGAAAGTTTCAAGCAGATAGCTTTAAAAATGAGGGACAAATGGCAAACAATTACAGAGCAGGAGATATGAAAACACAACCGATCACACGAGACAGTTAATCGATAAGCACTCGATACGATCGGAACTTATATTCACTTTCTTTCGTCGTGTTAATGGTTGATGACTTATAGGCCAAATTATTTCCGAATTTGGGTATTTTAGCCTCTAACGACAATAGGGTATAAAGCTGTGGACCTTGGTCTGACAACATCCACAGCGTAACAGCCATTCAAAGTGATTTATGTCACTTCGTTTATAGCCCAGTGTAAGGCAAACGCCCAGGTCTGCTCCAATCACTTGGGAACTAGTTCAGGAGAACTATTAGAGCGCACCCTGGGACCCAGTTCTTCGACGCCGGGGCGATAGTTCCTTGAGAAAATCGACGGAAATCTTACGCAAATTCCCTCGCCCACCAGAACACCCTTCCCACCCCTGAACGTGCCCGAACCTTTAGCATATATACAAATCCAGTGAAATGGTGAAATGTCAGCTTCAATGATTTATTCTCCTCGGCCATGGACCATTTGGAATTTTTGGCAGGCCGTTGGTAACCAGCTTCCTGCTCGGGCATCCATTCTGTCCCCCAAGCAAATGCGTTCTGGTCTGCTGCCTGCCCAATCCCACAGCCGATCCAAGAGCATGTCCATGGCTTCCTAATTTCTAATCTAATATTTTTGCTTACGAGTGCCCTGAGTGGAGGAGAGGGGCAAGGGAAATTCCTTGCCTTGGATGCTTGGCCATGTCCAATGTCTGCTCTGGATATGATTTACTTTTGCGGTTTGTTTTTGGTGCGTTTAACCGCAAATATTTAATGGTTTTATTTTCCGATGCTCGGCCGGCCCTCAGCTGCGATTCATTTGTCCATGTCCTGGTGTGCGGGTGTGCGTGCCGGGTATCTGTGAGTCTGGTGTTTTCTGGCATATTTATTAGTTGAACCGACGACCCAGTATTTGTAGATGCGGCAAGGTTAAGCCCCTGACTGATGGCGACCCAGTTAAAGGCGGCTGAACTTAAGCTCCGGCGTTCGTTTTCAGTTTTCACCGAACTTAACGTTCAAGGCAATCGCCAATCGCCTCTATTACCTCCGCTCCGAGACGCTGCTCCTGTCGAGGAGGGGAATGCGACCCAACCGCCGGCCTTGGCTGTGGCTGGAGCTCTTCGAGGTACTCCGCCTGCCACTTCATTGTTCCGACGATCAGACCCAAGTGAAGTGTGTTCAGAAGAAGTCCCAACATGACCAGAGGTCCGTAGTAGGCCCAGCAGAGGTCGCTATACGACAAGTACCAAGCGAGCCTCAGGAAGAAAGCGAATAGGCGCTGATACACGTAGAAGTTCCACATCAGAATTCCGGCCACCAGCACGCTGAAGTGATGGATCTGGTGATAGAACAAGTAAGTGAGGTCACCAAGCAAGGATCTGCGGTTACCTGGCAGAGTGCTGGCAGCAGCAGCAGGCCGTTCACATATAGATTCAGGTTCCATAAGACGTCGTCGAACTCCTGGTAGTCCAAGAATTCATTATCTTTATCCGGTGGATGAGGAGAGAAGAACCAGCCGATAATGGGGATCTGGTGCCAACCACTCACATTGGTTGTTGGAACTAGAAGAAACAATTCAGCCATGAGGAATCGATCTTGACACAGAGCTTACCCTTAATAATGCGTATTATTTCTCTGGCTATGTAGACCATCAGGCCGTTGTAGAAGAATAAGTTGAGAGCAGGCATGCAAATCATGATGAGGCTTTAAAAAATATATATCAACTTTCTCTGACTCTGACGGAAGCGAAAAGGCTACTGCCGAGGTGAAATCAGATTCGTTTGATGACTGGAAAAAGGAGACAAGCAATAGAAACAGGAACTCTTTTAATACTTGTGTTTTTATTAGCGCACAAAAACAGAATGCTCTTTTTCGCTACGACTAGCGTTGCTTTGACTACGAATTTCCAAGAAATTTAAATTTTGTATTCTTTCTTTTGCAGGTAAGTGGCACCTATCCCTACTCGGGTGAGTACAATCGCCTTTATTTGCGTTATCTCGGGGACTAGGGGTAATTTAAATAAAGAAATTAATATCTGAAAATTCTCCAACAATAAAACTTTGCCAGGGAAACGATGGAAAAACTCTCAGAATTGATGCGATAAAAGTTTAATTCAAAGTAAGGCTTCCTTTCCCAGTGTCCCGCTTCCCCGCAGCCAACCTGGTAGGCCTAATGTGCTGACAATCGTTGGATTCCAGACCACTCAGACCTGCACTCCTCCCCCTTGGTATAATTTAAACTTTAAAATGACCAGAGACGGGCCTAGGCAACAACAGAAAAGGCAGAATGCAACCGAGGGAGGCAGAGAAGTACCGCGTAAACTTTTGCAAAAGTTGTAAAAAATGAAAAAGTTTCACCAATAAACATTAGAAAAACTTTTGCGCCTTGTCTCACCTTACCATTTTATGATTTGAATCGCTCTGCACGCACCCGGCCACGCCCACTTTATCAGTGGGCATAATGTCAGACCTTTTTGTGGTGGCACCTGCCTAGCGACAAGTTTATCAAATGTTTTTCGTCCTAACCAAATGAAGCTCAATTTCGGAAAATCCTTAAAAGTTATCTTTATTTTTCTGTCTGTTGTCAGGCAAACGACGAGGGCCACTTAAGGGCTGGGTACCGGAGTGATTTGGCCGCACTTGGTGCTCTTTGGGTGCCGTCTTGGTAATCAAACAAAAGGTCAAATAATTCATCAAATATTAATTGAGTTTGCGCCTAATTAGTTTGATTCAGCGCCGAGACGGCGTCTTTTGCCCAGGGAGGGACATCAAAAAGGTGTTGGATCTCGGCCTGGGGCGCAACTCGGACAAAAACGCGAGCGAAAGACACCCCAACCGGGACAAGCCGCCCGAGATGGTTACAATTGTGCAATTAACGTGTAATTACCGAGGAACCAATGAGGAAAGCCAGATGGTTAGGGTAAAAAGTTAAACAATTAGGCAAACAAAATATTTGACAAATGTCGGGCAAGAGCAAGGGGCTTGAGCTAATACTGACGAATCGGAAATCCTTAGTAAATTAAAGGAAAAGCCAATGTTCGGTAAGAATTCGAACAATACCATAAAAGCTACGAGAGAAAACCAATGGATTATTTGCTGAAATATTTGCAGATGGCAAACTTTTTGCAGCAATTATTTAATTTGTTGCCAATGCGAGGCATAAAGTGTCCAATTCTTTTCCAATTTCCCTCCGATGTGTCCGCCTCGGATCCTGAGGAAAATGTTTCATTCCATGCACAAATATTTAATTTCGTATATTGAAGTATTTGTTGTTTGGTTTGGCTTCCAAACAGTTTGTGAGGTGGTTGAATGTTGGACGGAATTTCGCAGAGGGCAAGAGGAGGGTGGGCTGGACCACACACGTGTCTTGGCACACGCAACTTCTTGACCAACATTCCGTTCGGAGCCAAGTCTCAACCGGGAGGCATGATCGGGGTTCGGCCTTTATTTGCAGTTTGTTGTTTGTTTGTTTGTTTGCTGGTCCCACTTGAAACAAAAATTTTATTAATTAATTTGAAACTGTTGCTATTGACGAGGTTTCAGAGTTGACCCAGCCAGCAAGAAAGATTTTTCTTCAGTCTTGTGCCGAATTCGATTAGTTTACATAGGCAAAATATCTTAAACTTATATTTGTGGGTGAAATATTTTTAGGATGGGATTTCCTGTAACTGGCTTAACTTGGGTCCCTAAACTGCTTGCCTGGGGGAAAACCTGCGGTGGGATGCGAAATCCCTTTGAATTTTACTCCAATTAATTAGAATTCCACATCCAGAACTAATCTCAGAATTAACTATACCTATTTTCGCCTTAAATTGTTTTTAATATTCATAAACCAATTCTCCCCATCGCTCTTCGTTCCCATTCCTGCAGAGGCTATAAAAGTGGGTCATAAAAATTCCAATAAATGCATAAGCCCAAATCCACAAAATTGGTTAGACATTGCCAAAAAGCCGGTTTTACGAGCCTTCTGTTGAGTCCCCTCCTTATGTTCAACTCCCCTCCGAGAATAAACGACTTGAAAATGTTTTTAATTGCAGACGAATATTTTGGGCAGATTACATAACTAGCATTCGAGAGCTCTTCTAGCTCATAAAATCCAACCCCACACACCAATGGTTAGAGAGTGGCATATCTGCTCTATTATGGCACATAAACCGTTTCGTATCCTGCATATATTTTTCAGTTATGTGGCCAGCAACAACAACACAATCCACAATTAAAACCATGCCAAGCTCAGCAAAATGTTGTGCGTAGATATTACCCTACGAGCCCCTTCACCACTGCCCTCTTCGAAATCAAGTATACGACATGATAGCCACATTTTTGTGTGTGTGGCATTGGTGAGTCTGGTAAAGTGCGAATTACAACACTTTCTGCTGGGCTCCTCAATGCGGCTTTCTTTTATGAGCACGGCACTCGACCGAAAACCTTCTCCGACTTTGGAGGCTCACGAGGTGGAAATGTTCGAGCTTCGAACACAGCATTCTGTCGAATTATGGCCTTTGGAAGCCAAATCCATTTGAAATGCCATACAATGCGCTTAATTGCTCGCACTTGACCAATTCTGTGCTACATTAATTTATCTGAGAGGAGCCAAAGTTGGAGCTGAGCCGACTTTGTCGCATAAGCTGTGGAAAGATGACGCCTGGTGCATTGCGATTCGTAGCTTAACTCCTTAACATATCTCAACTAAAGGCCAGACAATACACATGCCCATGCGAGCAACAGTTAGCCAAGGTCTTTTGCAGAGTAAGTTAGTGCGTTGAATATGATTTGAGCAACTCTAAAAATCAATGATTTGTGCCAATGGAATTTAATATGAGAAGGGCGGTATTGATTGTTTATCGGTTGTCCGCTTGAAAATCTTATCCTCTAAAGTTATTTTTAAACATGGTTATTTATCGAAAAAAATAATTTTAAATTTATAAATCACAATGGTAATAGTATTCACATAAGTTTTTTTTTGCAAATCCTCTACGGTTCGATTTGTTGGTCAAACTTTCATAAAATAAATTTAATTGTAGAAATATCTTTTGCTAGAAATTTGATTTTTTCTTTTTTCTATGCCTGCTTGCAATTAGAGATTGTAAAATGAGAAAGGCTGTGTTCTAATTACATATTTAATGCTTTTAATTGCCACAAAAAAAACAAATTCAAAATCATTTATATTTCGCATCTTTTGATAGCAATTCAACTAATCTCATAATCGGATTTGGTTTGGCAGGTCGAATGCGATGAATAAATAAAAAACATCATGGGGAAATAAGCATGGAAATATGATTCAGATCCACACTACCAAATTCGGATCGTTTTTTCGAGCCCGTCTCTTTAATAATTTCCATCCGCATCACCTACATCATCGTAAAACTTGAAAAAGTTTTGATGTCGGAAAGATTCGACATGCAAAAGTTTTCGATGTAAATGACACAGAGTGCGATGTGTAGTTGAATATATATATATATTTATATATGTATATATATATATTTACATGTTTTTGGTAAGCAGTTTACCTTTTTGCTGAATCACCGTGCTGCCTCGGTAAAAGTTGAAATGCTTTTTGCATGTTTCTGTGGTTATCAAATTTGCTGCTACCAAATGTGTCAGGTAAGTGCTGGAGACAACTACTGATGGGATAATGGACAGGTGTGAAACATTTTAATGGGCATAGATGAGACGATATCAATTCCACGCAGCTATATATTGCTTCTTAAGATCCACGTTTTTTATGTCAAACAATCCTACATTTTGTGGAGAAGAACAAGTACTCTCAGTGCCTCGCAATGCATAGACGTAAGTGATTCGCAGGATATTGGAGGAGCAGAAAGAAGTACTGCGCAATCGTATTTACGTGCTCGGTTAAGATTTTGCTTAAGTGAGTGGATAAACGCTTCATTTAGCAGTAGCACATTCATCCCCACCATCAATTCCGTTTAATCACACAAAACCCATATCACAGCAACCGTACATGCTTGTCTTTCCTCATGGATCCCAGCTTTGGTGTCCACTTGAACTTAACTACAATTTGGTCGCCCCATTCATGCATATTGATAATCTTGAACGGTCCAATGCTCATTTACTCATCTTGAAAGGTGCACTGCCCCGGCATCCCCTGCCACCCATCCACTCCTCCAAGCAAGGTCCCAAACTCAAGTTTTTAATCATGCGTGGGCGGTCAGTTAGCCTTTGATTCGTTTTCCCCATCATCTGCCCTGGGATGCCCTCCGCCCCTGCTCCCGTAATCTCCAAGGGATGTGTGTTCATTTCGGGGCTACATCATTTATGGGCTTCTTTATCCTTTTCCAGCCAGGGGCGGGCACTTTTCCAATCAACTTGAGTGTATACCAGTGTGCGTAAGCCTGTACATATATGTGTAAAGGAAAGGGAGGGGAAAGGACCCTTGTCCTATTTCCTGCTGATGGCGACTTTGTGCCGATTTCATATTTTTCATTCGGCAAAATAGATATTTTTTAATGCCATTTATTAAATCGGCTTAGATTTATTGTACATGTATATCATTGTTGCACATATGTGTAAGTACACTCAGAAAAATCCGGAACATAAAAAAATCTTTTCAATTCAAATTAAAGGATGTTATTAGTTATGGTGAAAAACTTTAGTTGACTGTCCATGACAAAATCTGCCATGAGCTTTACCTATTCCTATTTTTGGTTAACACGCCATAATACAAAAATAGTGCAAGAATTTAATTTTAAAACAACTAAAAATGAATTGATCA